CACAGCTTCCGAGCTATGCCCACAGAGGGAAGAGACCTTTTATCAGTTTTTTCTCCTGCATGCCATCCAGTAGACAGGGTGACCTATCACCATTACCATGATATCTGAGGAACTTGGGTTCATTGGGGGGTGAGAAAGATTTTTAAAAGGCATTGGTTGGGACCAGCTGGTGGCATGGAGGTTAAGGTAGCTGGATCCCACAGGGCTGACTGCATGGTTTGAGTCCTGCACTCAGAGGCTTGGAAAACACACAGTGTGCGTGTGTGTGCCAACATTCTCAAAGGAGGGAGAGATGGAGGAGACGGGATTGTGGCATGACTATCTCCTATGGGGGGAGGAGGTGCTTTCTTGCTACCCACCATCCTCCTCTCCATCCAGCAAGCATATGTGCCCTGTTCAAAAAAAAAGCACTGATTGCAGGCAACAGTTCTCAAAACCAGGTTAGAAAGATAGAAGTGATTTCTTTTTTTAGAGAGATTTTTGCTATAGAGTACGTGCACTCGCCAGAGACAAAGAGAGAGACAGAGACAGAAAGCAAGAAATTATCCCCAGGGGGGATGATCACGCTGCAATCCCTACTCCTCCATCCTCCATTCTCCTCTTGGGATCTTGGCTATGCATGCACACATGCCCAGCATGAGTTTCAAGCTGCCGGGTCAGGGACTCGAACCACAGTCAACTACATGGGAACTCAGCAATGTAACCATTACTCCATCCGCTGGTCCTGATAGAGGTAATTTCTACATAGTATGGTTCTCCACTACAGGTGCTGCCTTCCTGACAGCATGAGATCCAAGCTCAGAATTAGGAACCTGTGTTCTATATCTGTCCCTTAGGGACTTCAAATATGTTGCTTAACCTCCATAAATTAGAGTAGTACCTGCATTGTGATCACTGAAAATTATTATGATGCCTCAGAGGGTTTAAAGGGTTGTGTGTGTGTGTGTGTGTGTGCATATGTGTGTGTGTGTGTGTGTGTGTCTATTTTGTTTTTGTTTTAATTTACCAGAAGGTATGTGCATTCACCAGAAAAAGGGACAGAGAGAGAGAAAGCAAGAAAGCACCTCCCATGGGGAGGAATCACATTGCAATCTCTTCCCTCTTTGGGAGATTTTGGGCACTCATTCACACATGCCCAAAGTGTTTTTCAAGCTACTGGGTCCAGGACTTGAACTGTGCAGTCAGCCATGTGGGATCCAGTCTACATAGCCATCAGACCACAACCTGACCCTGCACATGTGTTAACATATACATGAGCACATCCGTTATGTGCACAGCACTCACTACGTAGTATTTTTTTTTTTTTAGGCTTTTGCCATAGGTGTGTGTACTCACTAGAGAAAGACAGAGAGAGAGAGGGAGACAGTGAGGGGGAAAGTGAGAAACCATCCCTCAGGGGGAATGGTCATGCTGCAAACCCTTCTCCTCCGTCCTCCTCCTGGGATCTTGTACACGCACATACATGCACCTATGAGATTTTCAAGCCACCAGGTCTGAGACTCAAACCACGGTCTGGAGTCCAGCAATTTAACCACCACACCACCTGCTGGCCCCAGTATTGGGAACTTTTACAACCTAACGCAGCTCTCACTACAACCCTATGTTGTTGTATTGTGTTTCCATTATTATGGATGAGAAGTCAGAGGTTCAAACCTGGCATCATCCAGCTAATAGATGTTACAGTCTGTATTTAAGTCCAGGTCACTTTCCATTCTCCACCGAAACACTAGTTCATGGTTCCTTTCTCCTTATACTGTTACTTTTTCCCTTAAAAAAATTATACATACTTGTGTCCAGCAGGTGGCATGGTGGTTTACGGTGCTGGACTCCCACATGGCCTATCGCGGGTCCAGTCCCAGACCTGGCGGCTTGCTTGCTCTCTCTCTCTCTCTCTCTCTCTCTCTCTCACTTGCACTCTACCCCTCTCTAGTCAAATTAAAATAAATAAATCAAGTTAAATAAAATTATTCTTTTTAAAAAATCACACACCAAAGATACTTGAAAAAGTTCACAGAAAAAAATGGAATTACATTACAAGTTTATTTTGGAGCAAAACATTTTTTGAAATTTATACATACAGGGACCAGCAGTTAGCGTAATGGCTATGTCGCTGGACTCCCATGTAGTCGACCGTGGTTCAAGTCCCAGACCCGGTGGCTTAAACTCATACCGGGCGCGTGTGCGTGCGTGCTCAAGATCCCGAGAGGAGAATGGAGGAGAAGGGATTGCGGCGTGGCCATCCCCCCTGGGGTTGATTTCTCGCTTTCTGTCTCTCTGCCTCTCTCTGTCTGGCGAGCGCATGTGCCCTATAGCAAAGACCTCTCCCCCAAAAAAGAAATTTATACATACATAGTTTTTTCATAATACATATTTTATTATCTTTTTTAAAAGAATTTTTTAATTTAACTTTTTATTTTATTTATTTATTTATTTTAATATGACCAGAGAGGGACAAAGTGAGAGAGAAAGAGAGAAAGTGAGAAAACAAGCTGCCAGGTCCAGGACTTGAACTGTGGTCAGCCATGTGGGAGTCCAGTGCCTTCAACCACCACACCACCTGCCAGCCCCACATTTTTATGAACTTTTGAAGATCTCTCATACTCCCCTGCTCTTTACCATGTGTCATGGACTGGGCCCACCTCTTACCTGAATCATCCTTGCTATAAGATTTTTCTAGATTTTTCTTTTCTTCCTAAGTTGGCTTCTAATAGTCCTCCTGGCCCTGCCGCCAGCTCTCCTGCCTGATTTCTGAATATAGTATGTACCCTCACCAAGCTCTGTCTACAGGCAGGAGCCCTGCTTTTGTGAGGTGAGAAAGTGAGTACTCATTCAGTCCAATTTCCCAGGCTCTGAAACAACTCCGTGCATAAGAAAGTGAAGTATAGGAACAAGCAGTTAGCGTAACGGCTATGTTACTGGATTCCCATGTAGTCGACCGTAGTTCGAGTCCCAGACCCGGTGGCTTAAACTCACGCCAGGCACGTGTGCATGCGTACCCAAGATCACGAAAGAATGGAGGAGAGATTGCAGCGTGGCCATCCCCTCTGGGGGGTAATTTCTTGCTTTCTGTCTCTCTGTCTCTCTCTGTCTTTCCAGCGCACGTGCCCTATAGCAAAAACCTCTCAAAAAGAGAAAAGAAAAAGAAAGTGGAGTGTACAGGGCGAGGAGGGCCCACATTTTCTTGTCATGTCCTCTTCTGAAATCACTAAGCATAGGTGTCCCAGGCAGATCCTTCAGAAAAACAATGATGCCAGAACTCTTGAGCTTGTCAAATGAGACTGGGGAAGCACTCGAGGAAAGCACAGGCTTCTGGCAGGACCTTACTTAATCTCTTCACTCCTCTGAGACAGAGCAGAGAGTTATTAGTCCCACTTCAGAGATGGGAAATAGAGGAACTTGCCTCACATCACTCAGAGAGTGGGCAGTAACATCGAAAGCTCAGTCTATGTCATCGGCCCCTGTGTGTGTGTCCTGGGCGCTGGGCAGCCGGGGGTTGTCGCTGATGCTGGTTGAGTGTGGGCTCTGGGCTGGCGCTGCCGGTGCATGACTCAAGCACAGTTCAGCCCTTAGAGGATCAGCTGCCACTCAGCACCCCACCCCTGATTCCCCGTGCCTGGCTCTCCAGACCTACATCCTGACCCTACTTGATGCAGAGAGGAGGTGGCGCAGGGCTTATCCATTCCTGAGTCCTACCTGACCAGCTCATCCGAAGCAGCTCATCCCCAAGGCGGGCTTCATGGAGCAGTGCATTTATAGCTGCCGCTCACTCTCCCAGTGCCAGGGATCTACCTTACGATTAAGTAAGAGATAAATCAAACCCAAGCTTGGCTGATGAAATTCAGGAGCCAGGAGTGACCCTTGCCACACATCTAAATCCCAGCAAGCTGGCCAAGGCCTTTGTCTGGTCGGGAGAGTTCAGGATTATCTGGCTCTCTTTGCTGATGTATGGAGTCACCGTGTCGGAGTGTTTACTAACGGTTATCACCTCAGTGCTTTGGCCATTATCAGAGGCAGGGCCGCCTGCCGGGACTGGGGCTCGCACCCTCTCTATTACCACCTGTCATTGGCAGAGAGTGTGTGCTGACACTGCCCAGGCCCGACTGCCTGGGGAAGATCGTTTCTGACGGCTGATCAAAGAAGAGCAGCAAGGCCTGATAAAGAGTGTGTGCTGCGTGTACTTTTAACTTTGGGAAACATTGGCATTTGCATTTTTCCCCCATCTTCTTGGTGCTGGCAGGAACCAAGCCCAATAAATGCAGAGGCTTCAGTTACCTAATCGCTGGGGAAATGGTTATGTGCTTAAAGCAACAGAGCATGACTATAATCTCCTTCCAAGAGAGAGTGGATGAAATAAGCTTTCACAGAAGACTTGCTGCATAATAAAGTAGAATAATTTAAATTTGGACATTAAAGTGATCTTGTATGTAAAATCTAATCTTGGCATTCAGCGGAACACCATGTACTTTTCGGAATTGGGGAGCAGCTTTGGATTAAGGAAAGATCTTGGCCGAAGATGCTATCACCCAGTTCTGCTGCTGCTAACCCCACAGTGGTACCCAGGTTAGGCACACAGCCTTGGCAGCTGGGAGACTCTGTGGTGGAACAGAATGAGTTCTAGACTGAGGCATCAGGAGATCTGAGTTCCTGGACCAGCTCTGTCTGCCACTAACTTGTTGTTTGATCTTGGGCTATAACTTCTCTAAGACTCAACTGTAAAATTAGAAAGTTGGGTATAGGTTATAGGATATAGTGGTTTAGAAAGCTTTTGTTTGATTGATTGTTTTAAGAATTACTTGTTATTATTATTTATTTTTTAATTTGACCAAAGAGAGAGAAGGGGAGAAAGGGAAAGTAAGAAAGCAAGCCGCCAAGTCCAGGACTCAAACCACAGTTGGCCATGTGAGAGTCCAACACCTTAACTACCGCACCATCTATCGGCCCCCTAGAGAGCTCCTTTAATTAAAAAAATATACAGGCTATGTAATCCTTTTTTTATATGAAATTTTAAGTGGAGTCCCATCATATCAAACAGAGTAGAGATGTTTGGCCGAGCCTGGTTCCCATTCCTTGTCCCAGTCCATGAAGCATAGAGGACTGTAGCTTGTCAGAAAGTTTAAAAGCCACCAGCTTCGGTGGCACAGAGGACATCGTCCACAGCTCTACGCCCTGGTTCAGTGGCACGAGCTGTTCGGTTCCGCTCCACGCACCCATTCTGCAGAAGAGCAAGAACGGCTCTTTGGGGCAGGAGGGAGTGGGGTGGGCAGGCAAGGATGGCCCACTCTCGGAAGGTATGGACTCACTGTCGGCTGTCCCACGTGTGCCGCAGGTACCTTTGACCGGAGCGTGACCCTGCTGGAGGTGTGCGGGAGCTGGCCCGAGGGCTTCGGGCTGCGGCACATGTCCTCCATGGAGCACACGGAGGAGGGCCTCCGGGAGCGGCTGGCGGATGCCATGGCTGAGTCGCCGAGCCGGGATGCCGTCGGATCCGGAACAGGTAAAGGTGTGGTCAGACTTCCAGGCTGACTTGGCAATGACTGGCACCTGTGGTGTGGGAAGAGGGTGTGTCTGCTGTGTGTTTCCTTAGTTGTCACACTCTGATGCCCGTCCGTTTTGGAAACCTCTGGTGTTGGGAAAGCCCATGGAAAGGGGTGTTCCCAATGGAACTGCCCTCCTACCGGAATGACACACACCAATGCTCCAATGCACACTGCAGTGTACTGAAAGTGGCTCCCAGAAGGACGCCTTCTCTAGGAGAAGGGAGTCCCCAGGCTTCTCAGCAGCACCAGGACACTGAGTCTACAGCAGCAGAACACCTTCAGTCACACTTGAGCTTTTATAGACTGGTGACGCTGGTGGGCCCTGCTCACCGGCAGGAGCAAGCATGAAGCTGGTGGGCTGGCCTCGGCCCCCCAGACGGCCTGTTCTCTGCTGCCTTCTGCCCTGAACTCTTGCCTCTGGGAGAGTCCAGCGACTGGGCCTGGGGTTGTCTTCCCGCATTTGTAGAGTGATCAGAAGATATCCAGAGATGATGCGGGAGCACTGCCCAGGCACACATGTGTACTCATGCTCACACACATGCACATACGCACAAGTATGCCCTTGGGGAAGACCACCGTCCTCCCGTCTCCGTACAGCTGTAATCCAGTCTGCCTCTCCTTTCTCGGAAGCACTTTTTTGATCTCACTGCCCGTGCTGCTGGTGACTGCTCCAGCACTCCTCTGCACCTGACAAAGGCGGCCCCGGCTTTCCAAGCTCAATGGGGACTTTTCATTGGGATGAGCAGATCCTGGCTGAGACCTTCCCTCTCTTGCTTGCCTGAATCTTCTTGAGACTGTCACTCTTTGCTATCCCTGCTCACATGCTAACCTGGAAATGGGGTCCCACGAAGAGGTTATAAAACCCTGGGGCAGCTTCTGATCAGGACCAGCAGGATTTAGAGAGCCAGAACATTCTCGGCAGGGTCTGAAATGCCGGGCACAACTTCCCTGCAGTTCTCCAGGTCCCTTGGATGCTGTTAGGCTTTTCCCTCTCTTCTCCCTCATCATCATGCCATTCCCTCCCTGCCAATGCTAAGAGGAAGGGAGGAAATGGCATGGCCACAGCCCCCGCTGGGTGGCCAGCCCAGAGCGCATATGCAACAACTGGCAGATGAACAGAATGGGGTGAGTGGATGCTAGGGAGGAAGAGGAGGAGTCTGCCCAGACAGAGAAATGCCTTAACACGCCATAGGAAGCAGCTCCCTACTAGGACCACCCCCTTCCACACCCCTTTACAGGAAGGAGATGTGAACCTTGGAAGCTGCCACAGCTGTGTCCCTCACTGTCATGTACTCCACTCCGCCCCATCACAGTACCCCTGACTCATGGATAACATATTACGTGCTGCTGTTCTCCACCTACTCCAGAGATGAGGAGCCATTTACCAGGGCTCTCACCCCAGTTTCCTTGGCAGTGGGCCTAAGGGAGGAAGCTCTTTCCTTCTCAAGCCCTGTCCATGGCACAGTCTTTCCTCTGCATCTCAGGGGTCCCCCACCAGCCTCAGCTCCCAGAATCCAGAGCCCGGTGTCCCTAGACCCTCTACCTGGGAGCCTCCCTCCTCCAAGGGTCAGAGTTGTGCCTGGTCGGTTCTTCTCTCCGGCCACCTTCTCAGAAGCCCCTTGGAGCATCTCAGTGGCATCCAGCAAACAAGCGTGAAGGCAGTTCGGTCAGAGTCATGGAATGTTGGCCTGCCATAGACAGTAACCTGGGCAACACTGGCGGCGAGTCATCTGCCCAGCAGCCGAGGGATTCAGGAAAGTCTTTGTGGCTTTAAGCAGGTTTGTGAAATTAAATAAATTTTTAAAAAGAAAGAAAGAAAAAAGAAGGAAGAAATTAAAACTGTATGACCCGGGGCCAGCAACAACATGGTGGTTAAGGCACTGGACACTTCCACATGGCCAACCTCAGTTTGAATCCCAGACCTGGTGGCTTGTTTTCTCACCTTCCCTCTCTTTCTCTCTGTGCTTTTCCCTAGTCAAATTAAAAAATAAATGAATGAATAAATAAAATTAAATAAGTAATTCTTAAAAAAAAAAAAAAACTATATGACTCATAGGTCAGAAATAGGAGACTCTGGGACCAGCAGTTATAATAATGCCTATGTCACTGGACTCCCACGTAGTCGACTGTGGTTCGAGTCCTGGACCCAGTGGCTTAAATTCACGCTGGGCGTGTGTCCATGCATACCCAAGATCCCGAGAGGAGAAAGGAGGAGAAGGGATTGCGGTGTGGCCATCCCCCCTGGGGGATGATTTCTCGTTTCCTGTCTCTGTCTTTCTGGTGAGTGCACACGCCCTATAGCAAAAAACAAAAAAAGAAAGAAAACCTCTCCAAAAAAAAAATAGGAGATTCCCATTTTTTCAGCAGAGGGGATTTATCCAAACACCAAAAGGGATTCAGCTGGCTTTCTTTGACCATATTAGATGTATATGTTGCTTTTTTTTAATAGCCAGAGGGTGCATGCACTCCCGAGAGAGAGAGAACCCCCCAATGGGACGTGGTTGGCTGCAATCCCTTCCCTTCCATTGCTCCATCCTGTTGGGATTTGGGGCATGCGCACATACCCATTTAGGGGCTGGGACTCTAACTGCAGTTGGCCATTTAAAATCTAATTGCCTTGAGCACTAGGCTATGGAGCCAAACCAGATATATTTTGTTTATTTATTTTTAAATCTGCTTCTATTTTAATGGCCGATAGTAAGGTAGATCATATGGAAGTTAACTCATTTCCGTCTCCATTGTTAAGACTCTTTTTACATTATCAATAGATTGAGTATCAGCCTGGTTGTGCAGCACAGAGGCCTTGCAAGGGCAGCCTGGCCCACCCAGCCAAGCTGGCCTACTGCCCAAGGATAGCCATGGCAATACAGAGCAATGGGGTGTGGATCTCTAGCAATCACCTTGGCCCGCAGCAGCCTCTCATAGCACAAACAGGGACATCTAGTGTTTGCCTCTGATGCACCAGAGATCCATCCATCCCTTCCATACCTCCCAGCAAGGACCTCATGTACTATAGCAGCCAGGACTGATGGCTTCTTTATCAAAGTATGAATGAGCACAGAGGCCAGCTCCAGCCTGGCTGTCAGGACACTGACACCCACCCTGTGGCATGCTCATAGTATGCAGGCTTAGCTCTTGGAGTGCTGCTAAGTGTTTAACAACCACCTCTCTGCAGGGATGCGAGGAAGCCCTGATCTGGAGATATCTAAGTATAAAAGCTCCTGTGATGGCCAGCTTCAGCTATCAGCATAATGTCAGTCAGCTAGCCGAATTCCTGAAAATGTCAGGTGGTTCTAGCATCTCACTGGTAAGCTGTACCATGGGTCAGATCGACCCACTCCAAAAGTGAAGCAAAACCTTTGGGGCGGGTTAGCATTGATCAAAGGATATGAAAGTTCTGTTATTTTAAGTTCAAGAAATCTATCACACAACATGGAAACCACAGTTAGAAAAATGTATTGTATTCTTAAAAATCACTAAGAGTGCTGAGATTTTAAGTGTTCCCACCACCAAAAATGAAATGTGAGGTAATACATGTTAACTAGAAGAATTTAGCTATTTTTTATTTTTTAAGAGAGATATTTTTACTATAGGGTACATGCACTCGCTGGAGAGACAGAAAGAGACAGAGAGACAGGCTGCAATCCCTTCTCCTCCATTCTTCTCTTGGGATTTTGAGCACGCATGCATACATGCCTGGTGTGAGTTTTAAGCCACCTGGTCTGGGATTCAAAGTGCGGTCAACCACATGGGAGTCCAGCGACATAACCATTATGCCATCTGCTGGGCCCCAATTTAGCTATTTTTTAAATTTATACAGATTTCAAAATAGCATGTTATACATGACAAATACATTTTTATTTGCCATTTTAAAATAAAATTGAAAAAAAAATAAGTGATCTTGGGGCTGGCAGGTGACGTGGTGATTAAGGGCGTTGGACTCCCACATGGCCAACCTCAGGTCCTGGGCCTGGTGGCTTGCTTTCTCACTTTTCTCTCTCTCTCTCTCTCTCTCTCTCTCTCTCTCTCTCACACACACACACACACGCACACATTCTGTCCCTCTCTTAAAATAAATAAGAAAATAAATGAAGTTAAATAAAATAATTCTGTTTTTAAAAACAGGAGTGATCTTGTAGACCAGCAGCACCATCATTACCTAGGAGCTGATTAGAAATGCAATCTGGGGCCAGCATGGTGGTTAAGGCGCTGGACTCCCGTGTGGCCTAACGTGGCTTGAGTCCCAGATCTAATGGCTTGAAACTCACATCAGGCACATGTGCATGCATGCCCAAAATCCCAAGAGGAGAAGGAATTGCAGCATGTCCCAGATCTAGCAGCTTGAAACTCATACCAGGCACATATACATGCATGCCCAAAATCCCAGGAGGAGAAGGGATTACAGTGTGGCCATCCCCTCAGGGGGGTGATTTCTCACTTTCCCTCTCTCTGTCTCCCTAGCAAGTGCGTCTGCCTTATGGCAAAAACCTTAAAAAAAAAAAAAAAAGAAAGAAATGCAGTCTAAAGCCTCTCCCAGCCCTACTCAGCCAGGATCTGCCTTTTACCAGGCTTCCCCGTGTGTAGTGAAGATTGAGAGGGGGCTGTTGAAAACCCAGCTAATGTCTAAGGCAGGTGTGGTTCAGCCCTCTGTGAGAGCTGCCAGCCATTGGTCTAATTAGATCGTAGGTGTGACTGGCAAGTACAGCTCTAACAAAACCAGCTGAGTTGCTTTCTTGCTAACATCCTTGTGCCTCTTGCCCTGTTACCCTTCTCCTGTCCCATTCGGCAGAACTCCAATTTGAGATCAGTCAGCTCTGCTCTTACACCTGGGTTACTGAAGGAAAATGACTAGCAGGACACCCCCACCCTCCATGAACCCCGCTGTGGACTCCCTAGCAGCTGCTCCTCCTGCTCCTGGTTCCTGCCCTTCTCAGCCTGCACTCACCTCTGGCAGCAGAAACCA